ACGAACAATTGCGCGAACAGCACGGACAGGGTTGAGTAAGTAGTAGTGTAGGTGGGGGCCTACACCCGACCCGTCGGGGTTCGGTCCCCAACTCTGTGGTATTGTAATAGGTGCATTGACATGGATAGGTGCTACACTGAGATGTGGCATGTCGACGAGATCTTGTGGCAGGCGAATGGGTGAGAAGAGACACACGACGCAGTTCTGCTACGCTGGGTACGGACACTCTGGCAACGAACACCCAACCCGCGGTTTCGTTTTCGTAATATCAACAGCAAATATTGGACGTACCTGACGTTAGCCGATGCCCTGGACCCGGGTGTGCCCTTTGCAGCGTAGATCAAGTTGTTTGACGCTGGAAAGACGGACTTGAAAAACTTTCCACATACCAGCCGATTACCCGCGTACAGCTTGCTCTTGTGCTGTTCTTGGATGGGGACACGCTGAGCGACGAAGTTCTTCCGTGCTGGCTCGTCAGGCCCCAAGTCGAGGAAGCGCTTTCGTTCTGCCGTGAGGAGATCGAGCCGGTAGTCGCTGTTCCCTGGGTCGGCAAACTTTGAAGCACACGAACCACGGCAGCATGCCACGTTCAGGACAGCCTCGAGGTCTTTCGCTTTGGCGTGCCGACGTTTCTTTTTGGCTGGCTGTGGAGAATCTGCTGCAGGTTGAGCAGAGGGCAGTGAAGACACTCCTCGACCAGACTGAGGTGGACGTACGTCGATGTTGGTAGCCTTCCGAGCGACCGGCCCGGCGCCGAACACGAACTCGAGCGCCCCTGGGGGCGAAAGACATCGTCTGGGTGACGATGGCAGCAGCCAACCACAGCCAACGCCTTCGGGCTCTGCTGGCTGCAGAGGGGTGTGTTCCAACCAGGGGGGCAAAAACCAGCTCGGCCATTTACGGGAGATTCCAATTTCTCCGCGTCAATTGGTTGGGTGATATTCGCGACGGACAAGATGTGGCACACTCTGTTGTTTAACAATAGAAGCACCCGTTCGGTCGTCGGAAATTATTTACCAATAACATGTTTCTCTTGAGCAATACGCCGAATAATTTTCTTTGGGTGAACATTGTGATTGGATGTCCTGACAGTAGATAACATTTCCGGGGAATTCGTTCCGGTTTTGGGCGGTCCGCCGGATTCTTTGACAATGCAACGCAGCCAAAAGAGGGCAACACATACATATGTTCGACCAGTCACTTGACTGGTCGAAATTGTGTGTCGCCTAGTCCTTCATCAAGTAATTGAACACGAATTTCGGCCTCTCGGTTTACCGGTTTTGGCACCGTCTCGGCGTCCGGGTGGCGAACCAATAACACCACACCTGAAGCAGCAGTAGTAGTAGTAGTAAAAGAGCGCGATCACGCCGATCGCTGACAACAGCAGCGACAACTACCGAGGACAGGCGGCGCGCTAGGCGGCGGCCGTGCTCTCGCGGTCCACATCAGGGCTGTACTTGCCACCCAGATATCCACCCAGAGATAGAGAGAGGGAAGGCGAGCGCAGAGAGCGACGAACGGGCCGTATAGCGAGGTGAGAGTCACGCTCCGCGTGCATTCCTCGCGGAAGTCTAATCTTGCCGTTTTGGACGCGCTGGCACTGAGTTTGCCGTGTGTCTCGATGCACAAATGTCGCCTTTGTTGCAGGCACACGTCGAACACACCTGTGCGTGTGTATGTAGATACGAACACAGCTGTCTGTGCGCCTGGGCCATGCCATCGGGCATGGCCAATGCTGTGTGCATGTATGGGCATGTCTTTACATCATGCATCAAGAATGACGAGTGTCTCGTGTGTGACTCTTGCGCGGTCGAGGTAATCGATCTCTCTCGTAGTCGTTGTCGCCTCCGCAAGTACTCCTTCCTTTCAATGCATGCATGTCGCGAGACTAGCATACTACCGAGTCATGTACATGTATAATACGGAAAAGTCTTACAGCAGACGGTAGCTTTGTAGTCTAGTCTCTAGAGTTTAAGCTAAGTGTAGATGACAGACAGCACCTACCTGTAGACTATGTACCTCATCATGTGTAGTATGTATGTATACCCAAACCTCACATGCATCTTTCTCTTTAAAACCTGCTGCTGTTTCGCGTGCCACTGCTACAATACCGTGTCCGTGTTTAGACTTACATATACAGGCGTAGTCATCTTACAGACGCGGCCCTTCCTCCATCCTGTCGCTGTGTGTATGTATGTATGTATTGCATTAGACGAATTGGTTGCCGCGGGACATGTCATCACATACTCCGATCGCCGGGGTGAAGGATGGGCTCAATGGCGTGCTGGCACAACACTATCTTGGCACCTTTGACATCCCTGTCACCAACGTCAACATAATTGGGCGTCCCATAGCAGCGTCAGGGGTAAGGATCATAACGGAGTCCATGAAGCAAGCCCTGCAGCACGCCATCTTGGCTACGGTTGAAGCATCGAATGTACCCGCCGGCGGGCTGAGTGCGGCCGCAGCCGCGAAGCTCCAATTACGGATTCTGGACGGCGCGCACAGGACGCACTGTGCTCTGCAGCTGTACGGCGGAGAGTT